AAAAAAAAAAAAAAAAAAAATACATACTATACAAAAAATAGTTTAAAAATAGTGCACTCACATAACACTCAAGTTCCAAGCGATAAAAGTGTCGTATACAAAGTGGAGGTTGGACCAACTGGCGTGTATTAATCGACTCAACTATGTCGATATGTAAATATCCTTCGTTCTTGTTTTAGTTTTTCAAGTAATAAGAATAATTTGACAACAGTCAATGGATTTTATAATAATTCTCAGTGTTACAGCTAAAATGCTCACAATTGCCTATATCTACATCGATTTAAATTACTTTGTAAGTATAAAAGACTTCGTCCTGTGTGTATTTAAGTAAGATGCGAGCATACTTTCTAGTTATTTCGATGGTATCATGCTTTATCCATAAAACTAATAAGTCTAGAATAAACCTGAAGTTAGGTCTAAAAACTTCTTTTACCACAGTGTATCTTTGGAAGATTTTTTCCCCCGACACCAAAAAGGGGGTAATTTTTTTTTAGAGTGGGACTCATCGTTGATCTACTACATACTTTGCTATATTAAGAAAGTATAGTTATGACAAAATGTTTGTAGATTAAGTAAACGCAGTGTAAGTGTTAATTCCTTGTTGTCTGTTAGTTTCATAACATTATGTAGAAGAATGTCGCCGGAAGGGATTAACTGTTTTGATTCGTATATCATTCGTTGAATGGCCATACCGGGATTATCCACATGTTTTGCGATAATTTTTTTACGATGATTTGGTTGTTAATGGTGTATTTAATTTTACCGATACCGCTCGTGGAACTCGATACGGTGAGTGATCTTGGATTAATGTTTTAAAAAAAAAGAGAAATTCCGTTTTACCTTTTTGCATAAACTAATCTAATCACCGTCATCGCTAAATTGTTTCGTTAGTTTAAAAACCAACAAGCCTGACTGACTTTGCCCGTTTAAAAACATGACAATGACAACAACGATTCACGGCCAAATATTGAAACGACATTTAAATGTTTAACAGAGTTTTAAATGATAAGGGCAAGCGTAAACTCCAAATTCCACTAAAATGTTAACATCTGAAAAATTGTAAGTGGCGCTTACGAAGCAAAAGTTTGGGGTTCGTTTCAGGATTCGGCCAAAAATCACAATATTAGACATATGAATATTGCCCTTGTTCAAAAAATAGTAATGTTTCCTGGGTATCATTTTCATTTTCAGAGACCAGTAGTCCACATACCAAAGGACCTTAGTGACTTCATGACGAAAACTGCCTTCAATTGCATGATAAAGTTGCAAACCTCAAGTATTATGGTAAAACGCTTCTTCGAATTTCAACTCCCAGATAATGAAGCTAGCAAAAAGTTTCTTTACTGCGTCAGTTACGAGACGTATCTGGCCGATGAAGACGGCCACATGTCCGAAGCGCTGCTGAGACTTTTCGATGGAAGCGAACATGCAGAGGAAGTTCAAAAGGTGTTCGAATCTTGCAACAAAATTAAGACCAAGTCACCTGTTCGGACAATTTTCGAAGTGGCCAACTGTTTTTATAAAAATTCACCAGTCGTTTTAGGTCCGGATTTAGTTCGATATTAATATATATGTGAATTGTTAGTATCATATTACTATTTAATTAATAAGGTTGAGGATTGTTTTATAGTAATTATATATTTTAATATTTGTTAGATGTTCATCTTTTTGACATTAAATCACTGATCTCTATAAATGGACAGGCTTTATTGCTATTGATGGTCGGAACTAATAATAGAATTAACTTAATGACAGTTAATCATCAACAAACGCGCTTAAGTCGTAATGAATCAAAAGCTGTTATATCCAAGCAAATGCCTATCCATCTATATAGATCAGTGCATTAAAATATGAAGATCTTTTGCTTAGCTACAAAGGGTTAAGAATAATTTATATTTGATTTATAGTGCAATATGAGTGTGTTGCTTACGTACTTGTACCTTGTTCTGAATCAGTTTCATAACATTCAGTGGACGAAGATCGCCATAACAAACGAACTGTTTTGAATCTCACGGCATTTATTGAATAACCAGAAGCTGTATTAACACAGAGCTACCGCATGTTCGCGATAAAATTCATCACAATGATTTGCTTTTTAACGTTGTACATAATGTTACCCGCAGCGCTTGCACAAATTGATAAGGTGAGTTGTTTTGAATTGAATTTTCAAATACTACATATATTAAATTCGCGAGAGATTATCTTAAACGAATTAAAGACAGGTCAACTTACGTTTGATCTTATCATAATAGTCGCCCTGATAAAGAATACATCGGTCCGAAACTAGTCGGTGCCGACACTGGAATATCAAACGTGAGTTGAGCCGTCTTTAATTTGTTTATATTATGTATTTTTACTCATTGTATACAGTTCCTGATTGATTGCTGTCTAAATTATTAAGTAACTAGCTTTTGTCCACGACTCCGTCCGCGTGGAATGAGAAAAAAACAAAATTGTGTAGCCTATGTGTTCTTCCAGGCTATCCACTACATCTCTGCCAAATTTTATCGAAAACCGTTCAGCCGTTTAGGCTACAAACTCTAATAAACATCCATCCATTCAGCTAAACTTTTACATTTATAATATTTAATAATATATATGAAATTTGATTAGTCAATTTAAAAGTAAAAAATTTTCAATTTCAGAGACCTGTAGTCCACGTACCAAAAGAGTTTGGTGATCACATGGCTAGCACGACATACAACTGTATGTTACTTTTTCAAACCACAAGTGTTGCGATAAAAAACATCTACGAACTCAAGTTCCCGGATGACGAATTGACCAAACAGTTTCTGTTCTGCGTTTGTTACACGTTGTACCTGGCGCATGAAGACGGCCACTTGACCGAAGTAATGCTGGGCCTTTTCGACGGCTGTGATCAAGAGGAGGAAGTTAGAAAAGTGTTCGAATCGTGTAATAAAATTAGAACAAGAAAATCAACTCAGACGCTGTATGAAGTTGTCAAATGTTTTCATAAAAATTCACCAGTTATTTTAGGACCTCCTTTAATACGATATTAAAATAACAAATTTTCATCGATCGTGTTTTATTTTTAAAATCCCAAGTATATAAACGAATACAAAACAGGTGTATTGTACAGTCAAAGCCTTTAGAAGTGTTCTATTTAGAGACAAATTGCCTTTTTTTGCAATGGAATGAGCACCGCTTCTTCCAAATAGGTTTATTGATTTTCGTAAACGATGGTAATGTATTAAAAAAATGCCGTTCGTTCTTTGTTTATGCAGACATTGAAAATTTATCCTATTGTTGATTATTCCGTGTCTTCGTTTCAATGCGAACAAAACGTTCAAACGAATATAGATTTAAAAGTGGAACACCTCCAGATTCCCCGATAATAAAGATCCTGAACTCGAGTAGTTATAGCAATATCGTAGAGATTGACCTAACATGGAGATGTTAAAGCACTTCTTATTACACTTACAACATTGATTATATTGGGACATAGACAAATTAATTGGGTTACAATAAAAGCTATGATAATTTTAATAATTCTATAATCAAGAAAGTAACAAGACGTTTTAAAAAGTTAATTGTTTTCACATAAATATTGAAGTACAAAACTCAACATTTTAATTGGTGTCAAGAAACTTTACAAAGACAAACTTATAGGTGCTTTTCCAAAGAAACAATCTGTTTTCTTGTATACAGTGTCATATTGATCTTTGGCTTTTAGCGCATTACATTCTTTAAACACTTTAGTTATATCATCTTTTTTGTCACTGGCGGCGAAAACTGCCATAGTTTGTTCATGATCGAAGTAACCTTGGTCGTTTATTAAATTCTTTCCTTTAAACAGACAAAACAAGAACTTTTTGTTGATATCATTTTCATCTAGATTCCAGGGGATGGCGTTGGTAAGTGAGTCGGCGGGAGCCCCAGTTTCTTTAATGCATTGACTTCCTACGAGTTTTATTTTCTCAGCCATGTGCGTTGGGAGCTTGAGAGATGCCTGCAAAACATATTAATCTGTGTGAGTGGCAGAAAAGATGGACAAATGACACAAAAGGTCGGGAGCTGTTTCGCTTTTTCCCGGACGCAAGGGCTCGACTCAGGGCCACCTGGGTCGCACCCGACTACCAAGTCTCGCAGATTCTCAGCGGCCATGGATGTTTTAGAAAGAGGCTGTACGATATGACTCTGGTTGAATCGAGTATGTGTGAGTGCGGTGAGGATGAGGAGGATGCTCATCACGTTCTGTGGGAGTGTCCTCGGTATGCAAACCTGAGAAAGAAGATGATGGACGGGATTACTCGGCGGTATCCGGGTCCGATTTATAATCTGGATCTTGTCAACAACGGGGCGAACTATGCTAGGCTGCGTGAGTTCGCGCATCGATGGCATCATCGATGATGCAGGCTAGAATAGGCGCTGGAGTGGATGTCCGACGGCGATGGTGTTCATGTTTCGTCATGCCCATTAGGGGGAGAGTGACTCAACACCAAGGAATGGACGAAATAACATGTAGGGACTCAAGAAGGTGCGTGCGGAGCCGAAACTGGCCAAACCGCGCGCCCCTCCCGCGATTCGGCCCGTATGACCCGAGGGTCGGTGGGGCCATGGGTGGTGGTGGGCTTACTCTACAAAAACATATTAATCTGCATTTAGCTCTTTTTAGCCTCCAGTTTTATATGCCTTATGTCACCTGCACTCCTGATATAACCACTAATGTCCCAAAAATAATATAAGAATTACATTTTTAAGAACTTACCAGTGAAGCATTAGTGGTTAATGCATAAAGTGTGGTGATAAGGAGAACTGAGTAATTCATTATTGAATTAATTTCACTCCAATTCTACTGTTCCAGTACTGGACATTGAATGATAAAACAATAGATATCTAGCTCACATTTATATATTATTTTCAACTGAAGCCAAAAAATTTGCAATGCCCTAGAAAAAATAACTAATCTGCAAAATCAAGGTAAGTTGAATCAGTGCGGTGGTGAAAAAAAGATTCAAAAAATAATTAGATGAATCATAGTCGACAATTCCATTATTAGACATTTTTCACTTGATCCTTACTGACGCTATTATGGAAGTAATAAGTACTACATGCAACAGGAATGAGTTCTATCTATCATCTTGCAGTTAAAATAAAGACAATAAACCTTATGTAAAGAGCATAAGAGTCTTGTTACACGCAAATAAAATTGAAGCCGAATGAGAGGGCTAAAACTGTCCCCTGTGTCTCTTTCTAACAGTGACCCAGAGTAGCCAGATATCAATCATTTCCTTGTTTGTAGAAAAATAGTGTAATGTAATGAAGTAAAAAAAAAATTGACTGATAACCCCACATGACATTCCGACTCGGATGTTAATGGCAGTTTTCTTTGATTTCGTGATATTTTTGAAAATCTATATTCTATACTAATGTAATAATGCGTAAACACACACAACTTTGTGGCGTAAGATGTCGGCAATCACAGCATATTTTTGAAAAATCTTTCTTTAATAAAAAGCCATTCACTTACAACACGCTTGAGTCTTTATATTTTCACCGCATTAAACTTGGGGAGTAAATACATTGGAATAAAACCTTCACGTGGGAAAGGAACCATAAACTACAAGCTTTCAACATTAAGAAAGCAAGTTTATTATGGTATTTTGAAATTTGTAGTTGAGAATTTGAAAAATATAAACAATAAAATAAAGTGTTTACATTTTCACAGGTAAAAGTAACACAATATATAACAGGTAAAAGTTTTAAACATAAATTGTTGGTGAAGAATTACGGTGAGGACTATCCAATCCAAGTTCAAGATCAAATAAATAATTGAATTCCATTCTCTATTAAAATAACTTTGTTTTAATTTCAGGTTTAAGATATGTACTCGTATAAGGAATAAGCTAGATTTGCGGCATTTACTTCACAAGATTGTTTTATTTAGCAATGTCTGATATAGAATTATGTATGTTGTATTGTTTTTGGTAAATACATTTACGATAACAATAATACATTGAAATCCATCTGAAGCAATAATCTGCTGACGTCAGACAACAAAAACAAGATTTTTCATAAATGTTGTCCTTAAGTCCAACATAGTTACCATCACCATAGAAGGATAAATGGGACAATTATTGAGGTCTCGCTCGACTTCAATTTTGCGACAAGGACTCATTCATGTTCTAGTAATTATGTAAGTATTACCAGAACAGGAATGGGGAATGATAAAATTGCATGTGCAATTTTCATAATAAACTGCACACAGACGTAAAATTAATTAATTAAGTAAGTAAAAAGAATTCATAAAATTAAAAACGATTTGAAATCATTTCAATTCCCATCGATTTAATAAAGAAAAAAAAAATTTTAAAATTTTTAAGTGACATATAATGATTTAAAACCAAACTAAAATAGCCATGTAAGAATTTTGTAAATTGGTAAAAGATGGCGCTAGTAGTTCCAAGTTATCATGATTTTCTGTATTTGGATGTTCAAGAAACTGTTGTAAGAGTAGGTAATTGCAACACTGATGATAAATGTCGGAAATGAAACCATGTCCATGAGTTAGGATTTAGAGAAAAAACATTGTTTTAATGTCGTGTTTTTTTCCATATGGCATTATTTATTGATACATCCACGATTTACGCTTCAGGAAATATTTTCAATGTTTGCTAATTATTTCGTTCTTGGCCTTCATTGATTGAACAAGAGCTATCTAGCTATTAGATTAAGTTGTAAGTTATAAACTTCAAACTATATCTATATAATAATAAATGGAAATAGTACACTAATAGTGTAATTACGAGAAAACGAAAGTTAGATCTTGCTTATAGTTCAACAAACAAATGTATAAAACACTAACATACTTCATGTTCTTAATTGTAAGAGGCCAGAAAATCCGGGAAATTGATTATATCCAAACGTTATTGAGATAAATGGAACACCTCCAGATGTCCCGATAATACGGATTCTGAACACGAGTATTATAGTATTTTAGTGTTAAAGATTGGTGTAACATGGAGATGTTAAGGCAATTATTTTTCAAGATTGACAGTATTGGGACATAGACTCAATTTCACACACGGATTCAATTGGGCTGCAATAAAAAACTGTCATAGTTTATAATCATTCTATAATCAACAAAGTAACAAGGTGTTATTAATAACGTTCATTTTCTTTCACATAAATATTGAAGTACAAAATTCAACATTTATTTTTGATGACGCGGAAATTTACAAAGACAAACTTATAGGTGCTTTTCCAAAGAAACAATCCGTTATCTTGTACACAGTGTCATATTTATCTTTGGCTTTTAGCGCATTACATTCTGTAAATACTTTAGCGATGTCATCTTTTTTGTCGCTGTTGGAGAAAACGTTCATAACCTTTTCAGAATTAAAGTCACCTTGATCGTTAATTAAATTGTTTTCTTTGCAAAGACAAAACAAGAATTTGTTGTTTATTTCGTTTTCAGCGAGATTCCAAGGGATGGTGTTTGTGAGGGAGTCGGCCGGAGCACCAGTTTCTTTAATACACTGATTTCCTACGCGCTTTACTTTCTGAACCAACTGTGTCGGCAGCTTAAAAGGCGCCTGGAAGAAAAAAAATGTTTTTTTTAGCCTAAAAAGGAACTTAAACTCAAACTTTTTTCCCTTCATCATTGGAAAGTAATCTCCAGTTATATGTGCTTCATGTTTTTCAGTATGCAAAAAATATAATATTACATTATTGAGAACTTACCGGTGAAGCATTTGTGGCTATTACACAAAGTGCGGTTATAAGGAGAATTGTGTAATTCATTTTTGAATTAATTTGTATTGTACGGTTCTAGCACTGGATATTGAATGATAGAACAACAGATGTCTAGTTTGATTTTTATATTGCTTTCAACTCACGCAAAAAATCAGCAATACTCTTAAAAAAATTACTAATCTGCAAAAAAGATTTTTTTTTTACCTTTTACACATATATTCTTAGTTGATTCGATATGCTAGTCACTGCAGAAGTGTTTGCAATTTGTGATCTCTATGGTTTGGTCTTAGTTTTCTAACAAAAATAGTGTCTATGAAATAGCATTTTATGGTCAAAATTATTAGCTACTTGGCTTTAAAGTCCCAATTTCAAGGCAGTCGTTTATCTTCATCAATTTTAATAATTAATTGTATTGTAGTAAAATAAAAAAATGCGGACAGATATGAAACAAACAATTTACAAAATGAAGCGAAACAATGAAATTTAAAATTATGTTATATGAAAATCAATTCGATTTTTATTAATTTTAGTAAGTAAAAAAAAGATTTTTTAAAAAAAAGCGACATCTATGATTTCAAATGGAAACGAAATAGGCCCCAAACATGTTAGAATTTCATCAATCGACAATAGATGGCGTTAGTAGTTGCAAGTTCAGTTTTAAGTTTTTCTGTAGTTACATCAAGAAACTGTTATAAGGGTAGGTATTCATATAATTGCAACATCGGTATTAGATGTCGGAATATTAAACCGCATCTTCGTTGTTCAAAAATTCTAATTAGGATTAACAGAAAATTTTTTTTTTTTGTAATATATCTTTTTTTCTCATGGTTGTATTTATTGATACATCCATAACGATTACGCTTCAGGAAATGTTTTCAGTGTTTGCATAATTACTTCGTTCTTGGCCTTCATTGATGTCGAACAATAGCTATTTACTATTAGATTACGTTGAAAGTTGAACTTCGAACTGTATCTATATAATATTAAGTAGAAATAATACACTAAAAGTGTAATTAAAAGAAACAAGTGAAAAATGAAGTTAGATGCTGCATAGTTTCTTTATTTTATCTTATTGTATCTAATCAATTTGTTCACTATACAACATATAATATATTTTAACTAGGAATGCTATTTTTTTCTCGTTAATTATATTACCATACATGTTGAACTATGCACAATTATTTCATTAATTAAAGGCTGATGTTTTATTTAACATTGCAAAACGCACTTATTTACACAAAAAAATCTAACATAATAATTATTGATAGTAAGATAAGAACAATGCTTAACATGTAGGGTAACAATCTTTTAGGTTATTTTAAAAACTAATTAATATCAAATAAAAATTTAAACTTAGTTTTTTAACATGGAAAAAGAAAAACTCTATTTTATTGCACTTTTATGGCATTTCTTTAAAAAAATACACTGAACTGCACAGTTTCTTAAATATAAATAGAAGTTTTTGCATAGGCGTCGCCAACCGATTATCTAGGCTAGATCTAGGAGGCATCTTGATTGCCCTTTCCCTGAACCCTTGGCGACACACATGGATCTTCCAATGCCGTTTATTATGATGTCAAAGAAACTACTTTAGGATTAATAGGATTTTTGCCTCTAATAACCTTAACATCACTATTATATTCGTAATATTGTTGGTAAAGGTTGTGGGACTGCACTGGATGCGGGCGGCACAGGACCGGGTATCGTGGCAATTAATAGCGGAGGCCTACGTTTAGCAGTGGACGACCTAAGGCTGATAATGATGATGTTTTTGATTTGTCTATTGCTGAAGGTGGTCAATCAAATTGCCTCAGAATTGCGATTCGGTGCCGTTTAGAAATGAAAAAATAAAACTGTACTAGATACGGATATCACCGTCATAACATTACCACTACACTGTTTACCCACATTGGAAAAAATGGTTCAGAGTACCAATTTCGTAAAAAAACCACTGAAAAAGTATAACGCAAGTTTCACTTACGTCAATATAGGCATAAATTACCATTCACAATGGAAAGAACGCATTAAATAAATTGTTTTTTTTTTTTGGTTGCAGTAAATGGAAAATCGAAATTTATGGTTACAATTTTTTTTCGAATCATTAGGTTTTCTTGATTGCAAGCTTGAGTCATTATAATATGTGTTTCTTGATATAAATACTACTTGAACCAAGAGGTAAGCATCATTCAGTTGTAACAATTGAAGTCAGTAAGACCTCAAGTGAATACCTTCAATCACCATGCTGTACTTTGTGGTTGTCCTGTCCCTCATGTCTATGGTCGCCCTCGGCGAGGGTTCTGTAAGTACATTTACTATCATTAATTCGTTTTAGAAAAATAATCTCTTAGGAGAACATTTTTAGATTACCATGTTATAGTGTTGCATGAAACTTCATAATATTCCACTTTCATACTAAATTTGGGCGATGTGTACTATAAATATTCAAGAGAAAAGTGCTATCGGGCCCATAAGCCTATTTTAATTATAAAGTTTATTTAACCAGTATTGTTTCTGTTAACATTATTATTCTTTAGAAGATCAGTGTTACTCAAAGCTCAACAGAACATCTGGAAAAGTTCAAATGAAAAGTAAATATAATAAATACTCCTAAACAGACAGACAGTTTTCTGTCATCTTCGACATAAACCTTAGTCTTGTAAATATATTTTTTTAAATATTTCTGAACTCCCTTTCACAGAAACCCTCCATCCAATTGCCGGCTATCGTCGTCAACGTGGCTAAGGAGGCGGCCTCTACCTGCTTGACAGAAACCGGAGCCAGTCAAGAGGTGTCCGATAATTTCTTTAAACTCAAATTTGGCACTGATCCCGACAGCAAGAGCTTCCTGTACTGTGTGGCGCGCAAGACCAACTACGCCGATGAAGATGGACACCTGAACGAAGCTCTCCTCACTTTGTTCGAAGGCAGCGAACACAAGGACGGGGTCGCTAAGGTCATGGAAACTTGCAACAAAAACCAAGAATCAAATAAGATTGACACAATGCATAAAACTGTCGAATGCTTCTACAAGAACACCCCCGTTCACTTGGCTGTTTAATTTTTGTTAGAAAAATATTCTACTCTGTTTTCTTTTCTTACATTATATAGTTCCGGAATAAACGATAGTATATTAAAAGTTTGTCTTTTACTAAATTTTAGTACTTGTACCCAATTATATCTCAAAATATAACTTGAAAATGATCATCATCAGAGATAACACTTTGCATATAATGTGCAGCTTTAGTCCAATCTCGATATTGTTCAAATAATGCAGTGGAATTAATATTATAAATGCGAAAGTTTAGATGGATGTTTGTTAGAGTTTGTAGCATAAACGGCTGAACGGGTCTCGATGAAATTTGGTATAGATGTAGAACATAGTCTGGATAACAACATAGATTACTTGCTTTTATTAAATCCACTCTTGGGCGAAAGTTAGTCATGTCATAATTCTCTACAAGTAATAAATATTGTTCTACTCGATGTCTATACTTTCAAAGTTTTTTATTTAATTAGTGATACAATTTCTACAACACAATAAAAATCTTTCTAGGTCAGAGACCACAAAAAAAAATTAACATATCTATTACAAGGTTAAAAAAGTACGACACTTTTATTGTAGAGTTTCATTAAGAATACTGCATTAACTATTCAAGACATCTATAAGATATAAATTTGTTTTCCTCATTATAGTGTGAAAATATATGGATTAAAATAACCCATATGCCTTTTGTCGTTAACCATGCCCTAGAACAAGTTTAGACTGTTGTTAGAAAGGGTAATATATTAATATGTATATTTACATTTCCGTTGACAGGACTTGCAATGACTATTTTATGCTTAACATACTCAGCGTAAGCCTGTTGTAACAAATACATTTTCCTTATATCCACATTTAGTTTTATTTAACGATAGCTGTTGCTCGCGACTTTGTCCGGGTGAAATTAAAAATTTACAAATAGCATAGGCCATGTTACTCACTGATAATGTAGCTTCTTTATGGTTAAATATTTTCAAAATCGGTCCTGTAGTTTTTGAGTTATTTCAATACATACAAAAATATAAACCTTTCCTCTTTATAATAATAGTATAGAAGAGGTATTTTTCAATAGCTGGAAAGTTTGTATCCAAATTAGTCTTACTTGGTAATGATCGCATATGATAGGTAAGTACGTTTTATTTAACTCGAACTCGATACATCACTGTTTTTGACCGACTTTCCAAGAGAAGGAGGTACTCAATTCGTCTGTATGTTTTTTTTAAATGTCCAACAGAACACCTTGTGTTTTAAAATATTCAGTCGAAGTGCATGTTTGCATATATTGCTCGAAGTAAAAGTACGGGCGCTTTTTTCATGTAGTTACTGAGAAATTGTGATTTGTAGAATTGCTGGACATTTTTATAAAAATATTGGTGGGATCGAAACTACTTAATTTCTTTGCAAATGAAATAAAAAAATCCATGATTGACTGAATTTTTTTTTGCTTTACTTGTCTGCCATCTAGTGGTTGATGTGTAAAATATAAAATTTTCACAGTATTGCTTGCCATCTGGTGGTGAATACGTAAACTATGAAATCGACGAATTGGTGACGCGATTTATCTAGTTCCCTGAGCAGTAAGGAGATGGCGCAGTTGACGGATATCAAAAAATATCGTAATTCTAGAATCTTTCCTGTTAAAAATATTGTTGAGTATTATGTCGTGTTCTCTGTTCATGGTTAAAATATTTTGTTTTAAAATAATAACAAAAATTGTTGATGAATGCCCTTTTTTATTTACGATAAAAAAACAGTGCGGACCCTTACCTGTACCAATATTATAAAGAGGAAAGATTTGTTTTTGTTTCTATTATCAAGAAATAGCCTTCAAAAGACAAATTACAAGTTTTTTTGGTTGCGTTTAGTACTCTATGCAAATAGACAATGTGTAAGCTTGCAGTAGCTTCAACAAACATTCAATATTAACAGCAAACGTATTTGTTTGTGTACACATAAAACACACTATTAATTGTTAATTAAACACAAAGTTACATGTAGACCTTAGCCGTATGTCTTAAAGAACATAATCGTAAAGCAAAAACTTGTTTAACTAAACACCTTACTACTACGTAAAAAATCTGACACCTTTGCCTTGGCCCGTCTTTTAAAATAAACTTTTATAAAACAACTAGCTGTTCCCGTGCCATGCGACTTCATCCGCATAAAATTAAGAAAATTTCATTTTATTGTTTACATGCGTCAAATTATCAATTGCAAATGTCAAAATGACATGAAATGATGACAAACCATGACAACCTTGCCTCCTTAATGTTGGCAGCAACTTATGGCCTTTTTCTCACATTAGGGTTTTTATCCAAAATATTTACTTACTAAGTTTAATGGCGTGAAAATATATAGCCTAAAGCGTGACGTAAGTAAAGGACTTTTTATTACAAACAGAATTATTCAAAAATATGCGGTAATTGCTGACATCGTAGGCAACAATGAAATGTGTGTTTACGCTTTATTATTATAGTATAGAGTATAGAAGTACAGATAGTAAAAATGCCATAGACATTTAAATGATTACTTCGATTGGGGATTAGAATTTTTAGAAAGTAGAAGGAAATTTTAATTCTGAAGTGTACAAGAAACCACGTATTTTTAAGAGACGATGTGTTTTAAAAAACATTACAGTGTATAAAGTTATTCGCAGTCTGAATAATTTTTTTCATGTTTACAATCGAAATTGTTGTAAGAATGTACTCTTAACGATATACAATCAATACCGCTAAATCCACAATCACGTAGAATACTTAGTCGTATCTTACTTAATTCTTTACTATCGTGGAATACTAAACGTCCGACGTCGTTGAGAGGACGGTCATATGGAAACAGTTGAAGGTCGAGAATTCCTTCGCGTTTAATTGCATTTGTGTTTACCTTGTCTATTTAAATAAAGACTAGAGCAGGCCTCCCTAATCTTATTTGTAATATGTACCTTTCAGAAAGTGTTATATTTAATGGAACCTCCAGAAAAACTTACTTTACAAATTTTAATACTAGACTAATAGTCTAATAATAAACATCATATAGTAGGGCATTTTTTTTCATTAGAAAGAAAAACTAAATCTATACCATTATAATAAAGCGTAAACACACACTTCTTTATTGCCTAAGATGTCAGCAATTACAGCAAATTTTTGAATAATTTTTATTTTAATAAAAAGCCCTACACTTACGTCACGCTTTAGGCTATATATTTTCACGCCATTAAACTTAGGGGGTAAATATTTTGGGTAAAAACCCTAATGTGGGAAAGATACCATAAGTTGCTGCCAACATCAAGGAAGCAAGGTTGCCATGGTATGTATAATGTCAAGTCACTTTGACATTTGCAATTGATAATTTGACACATGTAAACAACACAATAATTTTTTTATAATTTTATGCGAATGAAGTCGCACGGTAACAGCTAGTCTTAAGATAAACATGAAACGAGGTCTTTAGTTTAATATTTTCCGGCTACTAAAAGAAAGAATATGCTTGTATATCTGACCATATCTACTCAAAACAGGACTTCAGTTCGGAAAATTATGGGACAACGCTGGGAGGCTTCTCACCAACGTTAAAACTCGCGATGCAGAGTTTAGGAAGCCCTGAATTAGAATTATTACTTAAGATTCTCTGTCTGTAACATTAGTTTATCTACGTGTACAAATACTGCAGAAGATGTAACAAATCCAGTTAAAAGTTATGCAGAGAAATCGTTAGAATAATAGCCTTACATCACTTTGCGACGGATTTACTCTCACATTGCATACGGAGGTCGCATACATAACGTATATTGTACGATTAATTGTCCGGAAAATCCATTGAACGTTAGCTTTGTTATGCTTTCAAATTGTCGATGCGGTAGACAATTCAAACGACCTAAAGTAAATAACAGTTTTACATAACAATTGCATTAATTATTATTTTTGTTGTGGTATTGTAACTAATGTGTAATCATCTAGTCTATACATATAAAAAAGTTAAAGTGTCTGTTTGTAAAATCAAAAGAAAAATTCCAGATTTCGGGAGGATGATGTATTTGCGTTGCTGATAGTCATTTTTATACTCTCTGTCTGTCTGTTCGCAAACCGCGTTTGTTCTGAGTAATCTCCAAAATCGATTACTACTGGACTTTCACTGAAGGGTAGCTGACATAGACGGGCATATTATAGGCTACTTTTTTATCTAATATTGCATGGACGAAGTCGTAGACAACAGCTTGTAAATAATTTTACTTGAGTCCTTTACTCAATTTCGTGCGCTATTTTTCTAGTGACATTTTCGCAAGAACATTATTCAGCACTATAGTAATAAGGTAAGCAAGTGACGTGGATCTTTGCAAGGAATAGTTGGTCAACTGTACATGTCAACACGTCACGGCACTTACAAAGAACGTATGTATTTAACTAAATACTAAATATAAAATAATACTAAATTTACCAATATTCAGTGACGTTTATTAAAACTGCGTACGTTTTTATGAGAAAGGATCGAGGGGATTATCGGTATACTTCGAAATACATCAAGTATGCGATGAAGGACAGAAAAAAATCACTACGCTATTACAAAATTCATTTATCAGATTAAATTTGGTAATATTAGTGCCAGCAAACTTTTATTACGACCTTTTTTTAATCGTAAATCAATTAAATTAATTTCGACACACTTATTCATTTTATGTAAACTTATGTATCAGTTTTCTATACTAACATTTTTATGAGGAAACATCAGTAATTTTTTATTTTTGTTTTTAATTACCAAATAAACTACTGGGCTGATTTCAAAAATTCTTTCACATTTAAAAAGCTGCGTTATCGCTGAGTAACATAGGTTATATTTTAAATGAACGTGGACAAAGTCGCGAGCAACAGCTAGATTAAATACAATCGATTTATAACTCGTACTAATATTAGATTGTAAAAAGGTGATTGTGTAGGAGATGCGTAGTGTATTTGACATTTACGCACTGCGTCTAATTAGAATGTTTTTCGCCGAATAGTGAGAAATATGACTCAAAAAGTTCACATACGAAATAGTGTACACAAACGTAAGTTGTGAAACAAAAGTAAATAACAACAGGT